CCCAGTCACATTACCCCACACACACCAAGCCACGCCCACAGAACTAGTAGTAACAAATTTTACATTTCATCTCTGGTGCAAGGAGAAAAGTTTTCCTCTACGAAAATGAACTCAAGTTGAATCCAAGATTTTCCCCACTGACCAACTACTAGTTAAGCCAGTGTTTCTCAGTCTCAAAACCTTAAGATGCTTAGAGAGTTGGAGGCCACACATCTTAAAATTGCCGAGAAACCCTGATTAGCTTGATAGGAAAGATATAATTCCCAAGCTTCTCAGCCAGCAGCCATGTCCTCTCCCGCAGGAGGAGGGTTCCTGGTGTATGGAAGAGAGCTGTCATCCACTCTGCTGCCATTTCAAGATCTATCCTGGTATCTCCAGGAAGCAAACAGAGGCGAATAAGGCCGGGTCCATTTAGGAGACAGATAAAATCATCCAAGGGCAGCTGTGTCACTAAAATCAAGATTTTAATCATCACCTGCTGAGAAGGTGGCTTGATGCCGTCTTTAAAATCTTCAGAGACTAGAACAACATCAAGGCGAAAGTAGCTGTGCTGAAAATCCCTTCCCCAAGTCCATCCTGAAATCTCCAATCCAGAATCCTTTGCATGCTAGGAAACCCTGGAAAAGAGAGGAGCACTACAGTGGTGACGTCTAGGCCCCAGATTGAATTTCCTCTGGGCTCTGCTATCACTGACTGACCTGGCCATAAAAGCGAAGGTTTTTCTAATTAAAGGGATTTCATTTATCTTCACACAGACTGTGAACTCCTGGATACAATATGAGCACCTGTTCACGTTCACCGGATGTGTTCACAAGGAGCCTGGGCAATCAAGGCTGACCCTGAAGGATGACTCATTCCAGCTCTATGATTTGCTGGTGCTAAGAAACTTTATTGTTCATTTATTCATTTGGGCTTAAAAAAACCCACCTCCATCCACCCCTTTGGAATCAGTGACGGAGGCGTGCAAACGTCTTAAGACCTCAGCGCATGCAGTGAACCTGAATGTACCTACAGATGAGGAGATCCAAGGATCACAGGCTTCTTTCCTGCTTGCCCTGAATCAGATTAGCTTCCTTTGGATCCGAGCCACAGCATTATTTGCACAGATCTAGGACAGCCTAAATTGAAAGGGAAGACAAAGTCACAACGTCCCGTTCTGCCTCCTTCACCCCATGGCTTTCTCCCTCCTTCTCCTCCTCCCTTCCCTCCTCATCCAGCCCTGCTTTGGACACCAACTGCTATTTCTTTTTCCTCATCCACGGAAAAAGCTCGACTGCAATGCACAGAAAAAGACACAATAATGTTCAAAGGTGCGGCCTTCTCGGAAGGACTCTGGGGAGAAAGGAGGCGGATGAAAGAAGGACCAGGCCACGTTTATTTGTTCTCTGCAAAGGCATCTGCCAGATTACTGTGGGTTACCTCTGCTGCTCCTTCACCCGCCAGCCCTCTTCTGCACATAGATCAGGTTCAGTTGAAGCCTGTCTCTATTTGTTCCTGAGATGTTGCTGTCAGCATTTTGCTGTCCAAACATCTGCAAGCCAAAAGCATCAAAAGCAAAACAAACCACCAGCCCCCTCCGATGGATTTCAGAAACAATCGGAGGTGTAATTCCTTCTTTTGTCCTTTTTTTCTCAGCTGTGCAAACAGGAGCAAATTGGTCGTGTAGCTCTACTACCTGAGGGAGGGAGTCCACTTCCTGTTATGAAGCCGATCGGAGCCCGGAATTTAAGGAAGGAAGGAGGCCCTCCTGGAGAGGATCCGGCTGTCGCCCATCTACGAAGATGGTGGTCTTCTCAAGATTGCAAGGGGAGCCCAGCAAGAAACAGATTTAACAGATTAACAGAGTTGGAAGGGACCGTATAGGTCATCTAGTCCAACCTCCCGCTCAAGCGGGAGACCCTATTCCATTTCTGACAAATGGCAGTCCAAGCTTTTGCTTTGGATGAGAATTAGGTTGAGGGTGGAATGGATGCTGCTGAATTACAGGCTAGCAAGTTTGAAAGTTTGGACACATAGGTCCCCTCTCTGCTTCTGAAAGGACGCCTCTCTTTCCCCAAACTTTCAAAGGGAAGAGAGGTCTCCCCTCTCAGTGTGTTGCTTTACATGGGGGGGGGAGGGGCGGAGGAGGAGGAGGAGGAATGTCTATTGAGTCCAAGCCAGAATTGGAGTATTAGTAGAGCCATGAAGCTGTACAAGAAAGGAAAAAATGAATTTTGTATGGTTGGCAGAGAAGCTGGTTGCAGAAACCCCGTGGAGTCTGGGGACAAAACACATGAAACTTTGCTGGGGTTGCATCTTTGTCCTGGAACTTAAGGACATGGGAGAATTCTGGATGAGGAATTTGGGCCGTGTTTCTTCAGTGCCTCCTAATGCACTAGCAGCCAGCAAAATCCAGCTAAGTCTTCACCCTCTGAAGTGCACAGGGAAGTCTTCGATCTTCTCTCTTTTTTAAAAAAGAATGAAATACATCGTCTCCCTCCCCCACCTCACTGAAACCAGGAAAGCCTCAGCAGAGATGGATTGTAGACAAGGAATGGAATGAGAGAAATGGGTACATAGGAGCAACTCGGATAGAAAAGGCCTTTAAAAAAGCATTTGGAGTACAACAACCTACAACGGCCTATTAAGCCACCTAACCCAGGTCTCCTGCTTATGCTGGCCCTGGCTAAGGATTTGCCTCTTGTGAGAAGCAGGGATTGTTTCTTCTAGCATTTCTGAGTTCTCCCCCATCATTTCAGAAAGAGACAAATCCAGACTTAGCAGCAAGCCGAGAGCAAAGACTCTTCTTCCAGGTTCGGCCGATGGGAAGCAGGTGCTGGAGGAACAGCTCTTCCACCAACAACCCTCCCAGCTCCTGCCCTGAACTCTCCAGGGTTCTGATAAGCGCTAAGACCCCGTTTCACTTGTGCTGGTCTGGCTCTCCTCGAGGGATCGCTTCAAAACCGGCCCCCTTGCTAGATCAGGATACTGATTTATTTTGCTTATTTAATTCAATTTTAAGGTTGCCCCAAACGACTCTGGAGGGCTTATGGGTCAAAGACAACAGCAGTGTTTTTTCAGCTGACTGGTCTGTAGTTAAGATTCTTTTTTTTCCCCTTCTTTTTAAAAACTGGAACAACTGGAACTCCTCGGCTCTCTAGGATCACTCAGTGATTATACCTCAGAGAAGTTTTATCATCTCTCGCTGATATTCATGGTTTGGCCAGACCGTCTGCTGTTGCTTATGAATTCTGAGATGGAGTTCATCTGGTCTTGGAGATATAATATGAAGCATTTCCTGTCTCTATGCCTCCTCTTTCATTCTCCCCTTCACAGGGATTGGATGGAATTCGTGGGTTTGGCCTTTTTTGCCTGTTGCCTTGATCAATAATTAAATACACAGCTTATTAAATAAGCAATTTAATAAAATAAAGTAAGATGAAAAATAATTAAAACAATAGTCTAATTAAAAAGGGAAAGGGGAAAAGCAAAAAAGCAAAAACTAAACTAAAAACGATAAATATATAATACTGTGTATATGTAGATAAAAATGTGTATATAAAAATGTTCACGTTAGAAAACTTTGAACTAGGAATTGAGTAGCTTTGCTGTTCTGAGGTAAAAAGAAGCAAATGCAAGAAGAGGCCAGTTACTGAAGACTTCACCCTGAGGAACCATCCACGTGTAATGGTTGGTTCAGCTTTTGAAGAGCCTTAAGGTCAGCCAAGGGCTGCAACCTTCTTTGGCACTTCTTCTACAATCCTGGGATGGCTGTGGAGACCAGAACCTCAGGCCTGACTAGGTGTTTCCCTGGCGTCCTTGGGAGAACTAGGCTCTTCTATCTCTGCAGCTTGTGTGGTGGCGAGTTCCTTTTCCACCGTCTTCTGCGTCTGCCGCTCTTAGAGAAGACCTGGCTTCTTTGATCTCACGCCCCAAATTTTGTATTTAGGGCACTTCACGGGTCCTACACCAATTTCCCCAGCAAACCGTCTTTTCTCAAACTCCAACCATTCAACATTTATTGCGATGCAATGTGTGGATGACCTTAAGGGAGAAGGGAAAGAGGTGCTGCCCAAGAAACAATCAGACAAGAGAAGGAAGAGCCCCCAAGGGTTTAATGGTCAGAGAAAGGAAAGGAAAGGGCCCACCCTAATGGATCAGGCAGTTAAAAGTGGTGGTGGTGGGAAGTTTGTACTTCGGACTTGCAAGACTGTGTTAACATATCCTTAAAGCAGATGTAGCTCATCTGGTTGTGTTTCCTATAAGGTTTACATGGGAGGACTGATATTTATTCAAGGTTCCACCTCAGCTGCACAAATCAGGTAACCACTAGATGGCAGCCAAAGGATTTTAAAAATAACCTTTAAATCTTTGCTGACTCCTAGTGGTCAATCAATAATAAAATTTTAAAATGTTCAGTGAGTAATAGGAAGTAGTGTGTTGGGGGGGAGAACACAACATAGTGCACAGAACACTATGCATGCCAACTGAAAGAGGGGTTTCACCCAAGTGTTGATGTTGAAAAGAACTGGAGTTTTGGTTAAGTGACCCACCAATTATGGGCCTGTACATTAAAACTGTACAAATAGCAGCATAACATACACCATCCTTGATGTGTAATAACAACTCACTCTGAGAGCAGCAGGATTTAGGACAGCAGGAGTTTTGACAGCTTCAGGATGGGGAACTAAACAAGTCGTGTGGCTATAATGTAGACCAGTGTTTTTGTTTTTGTTTTTGTTTTCAAACTTGGCAAATTTAAGATGTGTGGACTTCAGCTCCCAGATTTCTCATCTACCCTTGGCTTCCATCAATTGTGGGAGATGAAGCCCACATATTTTAAAGTTGCTAAGTTGAGAAAAACCTGGTCTACATCTACTACATCAGTGCAACTCAGGGAAATTGTGGTCCTTAAAAATGCCCTCAGGGATAGGCCATTGTAGCAAAAACAAAATAACGTTATCCTTTACACTAAGGTTTGTCTGTAGAGATTTGATACAGAGACATAAAGGGCGAGAACATCGAACACTGAATACAAACTTTATTAAGAAAATTAACAAGTGCTTACATACTTTGCAAAAATATATATTTACAAAACAAATAGCATGAAGTAGTTATACATTTTTCTTTTCATGATGAAAAGTCTTTTTCACATTATTTTGGGAAAACCTGTGGGCCTGCTAACTAGACCATCCATAGAACAATAGCATGAATCACTGCTTGCCCTGAAAACAATCCACGCTGTCAAACCCTGATCTGATCTTCCTCCAGGCTGTGAGAGCTGCATTTCTCTTAGGGAACCCTTGCTGGTGTGCCTCAAGATGGGGCCGAGATGCGTCACAGGGCTTCACCTGAGCCTCTCTTCCCCCCCCCCCCCCTCTCTCTCTCTCTCATGGCTCCTTTTTCTCCCTCCTAAGCAACAGCAGAGCAGGCAGGCTAACTAGTTTCTTACCGAGGGGTTTTGGAACTGCTGCATGGACGTAGCCGAGGGGGATCACCAGGAACCTCTCGTAAGCATCACGCACGGCTGGACATTCCCGGTGGAATCAGCGTGAATTCGGCAATCCAGCAATGAGCCAGTTTTTCCACCTTCTCTAAGAGTCTGCTGAAACCTCTGGTCTCTTGCAGTTTCCATGCCTTTTTTAAAATAGGGTTACTGAGAAACAAAGATACCTTCGGAGCATCTGGAATTTGAACCCTAACTCTTACGTGTCCCTCGATAGTTTTTGAACGTTAAATTCATTTTCTCTTTAGTAAAAGCATATATTAAGAATAGGAAGTATTAATTAGCACTCCCAATATGTAGCATAGCCTCCAAAGGTAACACCTGCCCAGCAAGTTCCTGTTATTAATAGAATCTTACAAGAGCCAAAGCAAGGTTGGACTACTTTGAGTTGAAGAGTTTGTTTTATGTTTGTTTGTTTGTTTTATTAGATTTATATAGTGTTTAGCTTTGCCAAGGGTATTTAGGAACATAGCATAATACGCAGAATAATCTTATTATATCCAGTAGGGCCAGAAGCATGTAATTGTGCGTGGAATGGATATGACTAGAAGGTTGTGAGTGTGTATGTGATGCATGCGTGCCTGCAGTGTTAGATATAATTGAACCCCCACCAGTCCACAATGATACACCCCCTCCGAAAGTCCCATTATCTAAGTTACTGTTTCTCCACCTTGTCAACGTTAAACTCTTTGGACTTCGATTCTCAGAATTCTCCAGCCAGTCATGTTGGCTGGGGAATTCTGGGAGATGAAGTGCAGAGATCTTAAAGTTGTAAGGTGAAGAAACACTGATTTAAGTCATTGCTGGGCAATCTGGAGCTGCCTCGATTGCAGTCCTGGTTCTCTCCCCCCACCCTCCGCCCCATTATAGCTACTGAACACTCATTGCATAGTGTATTTTGAGGAGGGGAACGCACAAAACTAAACCATACTAGCAAAACATCTTACAATTCTCCCAATAGTAACAAACTGATGTGTCTCGTCTTTGGTACATTGAATTTGTAGATGGGAAAATACTGGGGAAATATATTTGAAGAAGTTGATTAAGACAGGCAACCTAGTACTAACTGGAGTTTATCTTTGGCATTTCAATTCGAACAATATTTTTGCATTCTAGCTGCATTTAAAGGCCACCGGAGTCCTGACTCTCTGCTCCCAGAGAAAGAATTCCACTCTTGTATCCTGGACGGCAATTTGTTATTGCTATTTGGGTGATTAAAAATGGGAGAAAAGATTAGGAGAACCTCTCTGTCCGCTGTGGTACGGATTGCGTTAGGAGGCGCACCGTTTGTTTCTCTTTTAAGTAAAGGAAAAGGGCTCTGAAGGCAGCTTGGTTTACATTTAACGTAATAAAGTCTGATTTTCAAAAGCTACTTTTTACCACAACTAAAAAAAAAAGCTCTGCTATTTGGACCAGGAGCAAACTCCACAGGACTCACTTGTAAAAGTGTTTATAATAATTCATAGTATCTTAGTAATGGCTACAATAAAAATCTTTTAAGCTTGCGATTCATAAAATTTGGTCGCTTATGGCACAGATCGAGTTCCCTGAGAAGAAATAAAAATATTCAACATGCACTCACTCCTTCTCTCGATTCTGAATGTGGAGACCAGAAATCTTTTCTACAGGTATGTCTCTCACGCTCTAAAAATTATGATTTTGCCGTCTGGATGCCTGAAACCTCAGCTGCGACTCTTGCACATGCAAAGAAGAGCCATTCGCATAACACAGTGCTGGCCATCTCTCTCACACACATACCCTTTGAATAATTCTCCCCAAAGTCTCCCCCCTCCCTCCCTCCTTCTCCCCCACGCAAACGTATCAAGGGGTCACTGCCCGGATTCTGCACAGCAGAAGGGATTAATGCTCTGTTTCATACAAGTTGCTGCTCTTGAAGTTAGTGATACAAAAAATAAAATAGAAAAACCAAGCAGTTCCTGCTACATCGGACAATATTGGCAAAGACAAGATGTTTCTGTGCAAATAAGGAACTCGGGCAACCGTGGAGCCTCGGAGGGCGCCGAGAACTTCATCATGGAGCCCTGAGCCAGAGAGGCTCTCCTCTGCCCAGGATCGGGGGTGGGGGGTGGGGGTGGGTGGCTGGAAGAGAGTGAGGGGGACGGAGGTCTCCGGCTCCTACGGAGAAGCATCCCGCAGGCAGCCAGCGCTGCTCCTCGCTTACATCTTGACTCTCCTGTGGGTAAAGAACAGAGGGAGAGTCTATCAAGCAATGTCTCCGTGGGACGAGGATGGAGATATCAAAACGAACATGCCAACTCCAGGCACACAGGCCCAATGAGCAGGAAACCAGCTTGCCATCCCCACTTACAAAATAGGAAGCCGTTGCTGGCTAAGGTCGATTCCAATGGTGTTCATAGTACAAAATCAGAATTCTGCTCGGGAATAATTTAGGCCACTCCAGAGAAGGACAGGGGGGGGTGGGGGGGGGTGTCACACCAGAGCCTTAAATAAGCTAATTAAAGAGCTAGCAGGTATATATATACATGCAGCATGCTAAGTTTGATTAGGTGCAGGCCTCAGCACAAAGCCAGTCCATTCAGTGAATATTTGGATTAGTTAGTTTATTTTTCAAGACATGGTGTGATCTCAGAAACCAGTTCGTTCAACACTTAAACCAGGTTGAACCGTTGAATGAGCCTAGCCTGTTAGCAGCTGTGTTTTAAAACTATAGGTTTCAAGAAACTTTTCCACCTGGTTTTATATTTATGTTGGGAACTTCTACAGAAAAGGCCTTTGCCTGCCTTTTATTTATTTTAAATTGTTTTCTGCTGCCTTTCCAAACTGGAGGGCTCCTTTACGGAGCCCTTCTACATCTGGATATGAAGATCCCTTCTGAGCAAATGTTGCCAGTGCAGGCCAGGAGGGCAACGCGATGCACGATATCCAAGCAGAGAGGTCTTTCACACCTTCCCATCTGGTCTCGGCTGATCTTGGCTGATGCAAAACACAAAGGGAAGCAGAGGCCGACCTCTTGCATGTTCCAGGCTGTAGACCGGACTCAAAGTAGCACCCCAAAAGCCAAAAAAAAGAAAACTACTTCCATATCTAGAAAGCCATCTAGATATGTCCTTCAAGCCAACCAGAAGATGTGCTCAACTCAAAAAAGTTTCTACGTTTTCGGAGGACAGGTGATTTCAACTGTAAATGAAACTTGGAAGGACTTCCACCGTAACAGGGCATCTAATTACAACAAACCAGCACAAAATCAGGGGCATTTCTGAGAAGGTAGCATAGAACTGAATTCTAATCATGGCCAAAAATTTCTTTATACCACTTGCTAATTTTAAGTTCTGAAGTGTAAAAGTATACTTTTTTAAAAAAAAATTAAGTGAAGAAAGCAAAGCTTTTCCTTTGGTGGGATTTGGACTTTGTGGTACCCCTGGGTTATTTAAAGAGGAGTACCTGCGTGCCTAATGCCCCCCCCTACACACACACACACACAAACAATGGGGAGTACAATGTGGAAGACAATAAAGTTCCAGAGGGGAGGAAGAAACTTCAGAGATGAGAGAAGAGGCCAGATCCTGGGCCCGGCACCCTCTTCACCTTCCTAGCCGCTTTCTAGAAGCCATCCTATCGACACTGCTCGCCTGGGATCTTCCTCCCATGAGTAACACAACAGGGCTGTGCCGCTTGCCTGAGCCTCCCGATTCCTGTGCCAGGGAAAGGTCTGCCAAGCTAAAGCAGAGCAACCTCAGGAGGGCTTGGATTCTCTTTTATTGCTGGTGCTGCTTTTTCACTTAACAAGGAGGGTTTGTGGTGCAATGTATACAAAGAAGAACGACGACAGCAATAGCAACAACCCTTAGACTTACATACCGCTCCACAGAGCTTTACAGCCCTCACTAAGCGGTTTACAGAGTCAGCCTATTTCCCCCAACAATCTGGCTCCTCATTTTACCCACCTGGGAAGGACGGAAGGCTGAGTCAACCTTGAGCCGGTCAGGATCGAACTGCTGGCAGTGGAATGCAGAGTCAGCCTGCCACCCTGCATGCCAACCACTGCACCACCAGGGCTCTTCACAACATACAGAATAACAGTACATGAACCATGGAAAGCTAATTTCATGGCAGCCAAAGAAGCTTAACATAATACACCCAAAAGGCACAACTCTCCCTCCTCTCTCTCCGTTCAGGGGCAAAAAGCATGTCTGGGATTTACTTGGGTTTTTAACCCACAACTGTCCGAGAAGAAAGCAAACTGCCCTGAGCAGCAAAGTCCCTTTTACATTAACTAGCCAAAACCTGCTACTCTGGGTGCAATCTCATTAACCTCCCTGGGGTTTGCTAGGCCGGGGGCTTCCTTCACTATTATCGCTATTAACTTTATTTTAAAATACGCAGCAGCTGACTTCTTTGGATTTTTTCAGGCACAGCTCTCCTCTGACCTTTATTTTGAACTCAGGGACATGTAATAATGGAGGAAAAACAGGCACGCCGGTCCTCTTGGGCAGCTGGGGGTGTTAAAGCCAGCGCGGCCCCAGAGACGGCCAACTGGATCACAAGGGTAATTTGGAAGCAGAGATCGGAAAAAACGCATCGAGTCAGCAGGTGCAGTGATAATTCTTATCTGGGATTCTAATTCAGTCCTAAAATGTTCAGAAGCCAAGCCTCACATTGGAGCCCGCCAAAGGTTTGCCCAGCTGCCCCTTTCCTTCTGCCACCGCCTCTGTCTTCTGTCCGCTGCCATTCCCTGTGGCTGTTTCTAAAGGGACTTTTTGGAGCACAAAAGGGCTTGGGGGGCTAACACCCACCAGAGTCCTGCTGTGACCCTGTTGGGGTTACAGCTTCACAAAGGGCTCCTGGCACTGAGCACAACGTCTTCTCGGAAAGGTGCCAGTCCCAACATTTTCTGGATTCACAGAGGTTTATTGGCAGCTCCAACTGAACAACGCCAGTAGCCACAGCTACGAGGCCAACTGGGAGGCAGAGGTAGAAAAGGCTGACCATCCCCTGTGGCTCTTAGCAGCAGGACAACAGGGGCTGGGACTCTGGGGCAGGGGAGGTGCCTCTCAGCCACCGTATGGGGCACACAGGGTGTGCAATCGGGTGTAGTTCATGTGTGCCATCTGCATTATTTGGGGTAACAGTGATACTGCTCTGGGCTAACTGGATGTGGGGTGGTGTGAAGGGCGTAGATTAGGAGGCTCCCCAGGGATCCATGTGATGACGAATTAAAATGGAAACTGGTCAGCCCCAAAACAGCCTTTCTCCATTATGCCAACAGCTATTTCATAACACCTAACTAGTTTGACCGAGAACTGACTTTGGCACTTTCACCTACCCTGCACCCACAACAGTTGCGTGAAAATTGCATAAGAGAAAAGGCAAAAGAGATTAGTGAGCAATGAGCTGATATTTTAGCAGGAGCTTTCAAGACTTCAAAATAAGTCTTGAACTTCCCAAAACTGCATCCTTGCAACAGCCTGGTTAATACAAGAAGAAAGCTGAGAAGATGAAACAACTGATAACAGCCCATCTAAAAAAGCATAGTTTTTATTATTTAAAAAGCATTTTTTAAGAAATGCCCATATATAGTTGGGCTTTTATAGTATTAAACTAGCAACTTTTGTTTGAATGTACAGTACATAATATATGCAGTACACTGTTAGAACAAGTGAAAAGTAGATAGGCTACATTAATATAGTTTTAGATATTAGTATGACATCTGGCCACCTGTGGGCAAGGCCCCCTTTAAGCAGCCGAGAGTTAAATGGCTGCAGTGCAGACATGTAACATTTGACAGAGAGGAGATAATCTTATTTGTGATTGGCTTGAAATGTGGCCTTAAGCAGAGAGGAAAAATAGATCTCCGGGGTGCATGGAGGAAAATTCAAAGGGCTCAGTTCGGCAAGGACAGCTATGAGGCCAACTCTTTTGAAGTCGAGCGTCTACAAAGACCCTAGTATTTCCAGTAAAAACATTCATATATAAGATTGCTGCCAAGAGACTACCCTCCTCACTGTGTCTGACATGCTTGGGGTCAACCTCTTCCTTGAACTGCTCGAAATAAAAAGCCTGGAAGAAAATATATTTAAGCAGAGACCAATTGAACAGACCCAAGAGCTTCCAAAATTGGCTCTGGGGTAACTTCAGAAGAATGTGCAAAAGGTTCCAGAAATCTAGTGCGTGAAACTCACAAGTCCTCCGCTTATGTTACTTGTGAGAACTACTGTGGGGTAACTGACGGCCACTTTGTCACCTGGTCCACATGAGTCTTATCTCTTTAGGCCCCAAAACTGAGAATCACTCTTGGCGACAGATGTGAAGCAGCCTCCAAAAACTCAGCTGAAACCGAGGCCTCTTTGGGGTTGCGGCTTACTTTTGAAAGTATTTCTCCAGGTACTCTTGAATCCACTTTAACTTGGAGTCGATGCAGATCTGTTTACTGCTGTTTTTCAGTCTTGCACTGCCGAGAAAAAGAAAGGAGAGAAAAAAAAGATAGAATAGAAAATAAACTCACGTACATAAACCAAACCCGAATTTGCTAGTTCAACTTTTGTGACAAGGGACAATAAAGACATCTGCTCCTTATAACATTACACAATGAAAGAAAGTTTTTTATTATTATGGTGAAATTAAAACCATTAAAAAACATTTGTGGCTATTACCACAAATTGACACAAAGCAGCCTACTTGAGCGATAGCTGGGCCACCTTCAAACCAAGGTCACCGGTGGTCTGAAGTTAAATGCATCCAACGCTTTTGAGTTACCTTCAGAAGAAGGTGTGCTTCTGAAGGTTTTTATTTTCCTTTGGCCAGTTTGGGAAATTCTGAACCTCTTCCAACCTCTCTATGAAAAAAGAACCCCTACGCAGAGTGAAGAACAATAGGGCATAGTTTTCCAGCTTCTAGTTGCTAAGCAGAAAAGGCCAGAGGAGGGATCTCAAATTATCATACTTTTTGGAGGTGAACTGAAAGAACAAACTCAACACCATTTTGTACTCTCTGACAGCAACAATATTCAGCAACTCTGCGATGGGAGAACAGTCTGAGAGTCAGCAATCGACAGAGCAAGGGAATTCTTATTACTGCTTGTCTGAACTCCTTCATCTGTGCCAAACCATCTTTAACATATAAGCATGTCTAGATAAGTAAACCTCAATTGTAGAACGAAAGAGCTTTTCTGATATTTGCTGAACCCCTTCCCCGGAAAAGGCTATTTTTTATGAACATTTCACCCAGAATCTGCGGGTTTCCTCATTACATGAAATACCCCCCAAATTCTGAAAGTAGGTTGTTCAAGCTACAGACTGTGTCTCACCAGTGAACTGATAAGGAAAGTTTGAAACTTCTTTTTGTGTTAGTCCTACACTCTATAATGAGCGCTTCATTATGCTGCAGGAAAATGTTTCCATGGGACACGTTATTAATCTGTCTTCCTTAATCTTTTCTACTTAGCAATCCACGTTCTCAGACAGAATTCTATTTATAAACAATAGAAGCAGAATATAAATCAATTTCTAAAACTCATCAGTTGAAAATGAAAAGATGAAACATTTCATGTTCACATATTTTACTCTTTTTCAAGAAAGTGTACTTTTGCTTCATTTCAACCACATTTAATAGTAAAATAGAAAGAAGTTAATTATAAAGCTTCTCTATAAAATCACCGAAGTTGAAGTACTTATGACTAATTTAAAATTTTTCTTCAAATACACAACTATACTTATAAATAAACTGTGGCTCTGTTTAGCATGAGGGAGGCATGTAAGGTTTTGCCCCCTCTTCCTGTGTGGCTTTAACGTTTATCTTGTTTATATTAGAGGGATGTTTTAAGGGGAAAGGATAATTGCAGGATGAGTTCTTCTGGATTTTGAAGACCCGGGATAGAAGCAGGATAAAAAGAAAGCTAACACTTTTCAACTTTGGTCCTGGAGAAAATTCCTGGTAATGCCACAGGCAGCCACAAAAGTAAACAAATGGGTTATTGAACAAATCAGCTCAAAGAGTTCTCACTTGAGACACGGATGACCGGGCTCAAGTGGTCCTACTTTGGCCACCTCACGTGAAGATGGAGGTCTCTGGGGAAGCTCCCCAGTGCTGGGAAGGGTGGAAAGAAAGGAGACCAGCATCAAAGTGCCCCGTGGCCAAATCATGAGCATACGGACGGCGGGGGATGAACAGTCGCTAAATGAGTGGACGGTAAGCAAGGTCTATAGTACAAAGGGCATAAGACCACAAAACCAGTCCTGCCTCAGAGACAAATCCAGCACTGAGAACAACTTTTTCACTTTTCAACAATCAAAACTGATCTGCCAGAGCTCAGCCTTGAATGCCCCTGGCAGACTGTCAAGCGGGAGGGGGCCCCATCTGGGTCTCTGGATGGACAAAGCAGCCGGGAGATAAAAGATCTCATGGAGAGAAACGCCTTCAAGGTGCCCTTATCAGCCAAGCAAACTGGACGGGCGACTGGTACCTGAAGTTAGTGGCCCTGCAGGTACCAAGCTAGGAACCCAATCGATTAAAAGCAGCCCCCCCCCTTTTTTTTTTTTTGCACTTTGCCTCTTTTGATCCATGGGAACAAATAATCTTTAAGACGGGGTGAAGTCTAAAATGTGTTACTACCGGTTCTGTGGGCGTGGCTTGGTGGGGGTGGGGGTAATGTGACTGGGTGGGCGTGGCCATTTTTTTTTTTTTTTACTTTTAAAACCATTTTTTCTACAACCTCAGGTTGCAGAAAAAAATGCTTTCAAAAGGCTCTGACGAGCCCAGCTGAGCCGCATGATCATCAGAGGCTTTTTTTAAAAAAAATTAAAAGCATTTTTTCGGCCGAAGAGGTTGTAGAAAAAATGCTTTTAAAAGTAAAAAAAAGCCTCTGATGATTGTGTAGCTCAGCTGGGCATGGGTGGGGGGCAGGGATTTTTTGCTTCCGGTTCTCCGAACCACCCGCCTCCATCGCTACCGGATCAGGCAATTTCACCCCTGCTTTAAGACCATCTTAGATCAGTATTTGCAATCCCTCAGTGCCAGAATCTCTGCCCTTCTTTGCTTGCTACCCTTTGCACTGTATCACTCAACAAGCCGTATCCTGTTCCAACCTCTGCGACTTCTAACATCCCTCTAGACACCACAAATGGTGCCGTTTTTTAGGCTCCTGCCTCTTCCACACAAGCATCGTTTTTTTTAAATCCTGAAAACAGGAAACCTTCTGAAACTCCTCAGGTGAAACTTAGAAGACCTTATTCTTTCAGAAAGCTCACTCAAACATGTTTGCAAATTTTGATCCATTCTGCCATTAAATCTGCCAAACAAAATTTACAATTTCCTTCGTAAAAGAAGAACAAAACCAGAACTTAGCATCTTGGAAGAATTAATCTGCTCAGAAAAAAAATTGCTACTCCTGACAACGTGATTAAGTTCTGTCAGACCAGTAAACAAAACGTAAGTAATGCCTTATTTCCAATTAAGAGTCAATGGGAGGCAGGGACTCGGATTTCAAAATCACAATTAGAGACTAAATTGAATCGAGAGACTAATCTGAGGTAGAAAAAGTCATTTTCTGAGTTTGTAACTCAGTCTTTGGTAACTTTAAGGTGCCGGCTGGGGAATTCTGGGAGTCCACACATCTCAAAGTTGCCAAAGTTGAGAAAGGCTGCTGTATCTCATGGCCTAAACCAGGATTTCTCAACCACGGCACCTTAAACATGGGTGGACTTCAACTCCCAGAATTCCCCAGCCAGCTGTAATGTGCTGGCTGGGGAATTTTGGGAGTTGAAGTCCACCCATCTAAAGGTCACCAAGGTTGAGAAACCCCCAGCCTAAACCATCCATAAATTATAACTTGCTGCTGAGGCATAAAACTCTTCACCCAACAGATGCAAGTACTTATGGATTTGTTTTTATAGCTGCATCATTTTTATTTCCCAGAAGACCCAGGATGGTTTACAAACGGAGAATTATAAATGAAAAATAAAACAAAATCAAAATATAAACAGCAAAATACAATAAGATAGAAAATAGCAGCAAATACAACTGAATCAAGAACCCACAAGATAAAAGCTAATAGAAAACAAGTCTTAAGAGTCTTCCTGGAGGCCTCTAAAAATAGAAAGATTTGCCCACCGGGGAAACATGGGAGGGAGGCAGTGGTTGTGAGAAAAATGGGGCTGCCAGTCACGATCAACTTCATGAAATCAGATTCTAAAGGCTGCATTCCAATATGGATCCGTTCCAGTCGGGCTTCAGGCCTGGGTACAGCACGGAAACGGCATTGGTCGCATTGGTTGATGATCTCTGGAGGGCTCGGGACAGGGGTTGTTCCTCTGTCCTGGTCCTATTAGACCTCTCAACGGCTTTTGATACCATCGACCATGGTATCGTGCTGCACCGGCTAGAGGAGTTAGGGGTGAGGGGCACCGTCCTACGGTGGTTCTCCTCCTTTCTCTCCGACCGGTTGCAGTCTGTGTTGGCAGGGGGACAGAGGTCGACCCCAAGGCCCCTTGTATGTGGGGTGCCACAAGGGTCGGTCCTTTCGCCCCTTCTGTTCAACATTTATGTGAAGCCGCTGGATGAGATCATCTGCGGTTTCGGGGTGAAGTACCATCAGTACGCTGATGATACTCAGCTGTACATCTCCACTCCGGACCACCCCAATGATGCCCTTGAAGTGATGTCCCGGTGCCTGGAGGCCGTGCGGATCTGGATAGGGAGAAACAGACTCAGGCTCAACCCATCCAAAACCGAGTGGCTGTGGTTTCCGACATCCCGATATAGTCAGTTGGTGCCATCACTGACTATTGGGGGCGAGTCATTGGCCCCCATGGAGAGGGTTCGCAACTTGGGTGTCCTCCTGGACTCACGGCTGTCTTTAGAAAAGCACATGACGGCCGTGGCCAGGGGGACTTTTTATCAGGTCCTCCTGATTTGCCAGTTGCGTCCCTTTCTGGATCGGGACTCGTTAAATACGGTCACTCATGCCCTCGTCACTTCCCGCCTGGACTACTGCAATGCTCTCTACATGGGGCTCCCCTTGAGGAGCACCCAGAGGCTCCAGCTGGTCCAGAATGCGGCCGCGCGGGTAGTTATGGGAGCGACGTGGCGCTCCCATGTGACCCCCCTCCTGCGCGAGCTGCACTGGCTCCCGGTGGTCTTCCGGGTGCGCTTCAAGGTTTTGGTTACCACCTTTAGAGCGCTCCATGGCATCAGACTGGGGTATTTATGAGACCGCCTTCTGCTACCAATAGCCTCTCACCGACCAGTACGCTCCCATAGAGAGGGGTTCCTCAGGGTGCCGTCGGCCAAACAGTGTCGACTGGCGGCCCCCAGCCTTCTCTGTGGGGACACCTACAATCTGGAACGAGCTCCCCCCGGAGATATGGAGGATCCCAGATCTGCGCACGTTTCATCGTGCTCTCAAAACTTTTTTATTTCAGAAGGCTGGCCTGGCCTAACTCTCCTTTTTTAAATTTTTAATTTGTGATTTTATAAATTGGGTGTTTTAATCTGTGTTTCGGCCAAAATATTTAATAATTTTAAGGGATTTTTTTAATATTTGTATTATTTGTATTTTATCTTGGCTGTTCATCGCCCTGAGTCCTTCGGGAGTAGAGCGGTATAGAAATTTGATTAATAAATAATAATTAATAATAAATATGCCTTAATCAAGTTTATTTCTTGTTCCTTTTTTTCCCTTAAAAAGAATCAGTTTCATATAAAATACACGTTGAAGCATAAATGAAGCATTCAACTGATATTACCAAGGATTAACATGTAAGTAGGGACCCTGTGGCTCAGTGTTAAAGTGCTGAGCTTGTCGATCAGAAGGTCGGCAGTTCAGCTGTTCGAATCCCTAGTGCCGCGTAACGGGGTGAGCTCCTATTACTTTTCCCAGCTTCTGCCAACCTAGCAGTTCAAAAGCACGTAAAAAATGCAAGTAGTAAAATAGGGACCACCTTTGGTGGGAAGGTAACAGCGTTCCATGCGCCTTTGGCTTTGAGTCATGCTGGCCACATGACCATGGAGACGTCTTCGGACAGTCTTCGCTGGCTCTTCAGCTTTGAAACGGAGATGAGCACCACCCCCTAGAGTCGGGAACAACTAGCACATTTGTGCTAGGGGAACCTTTACCTTTAACATGTAAACTAGCTAGATCAGAGAAGCATCGTTTACTCTGTTTTTACATTGGCAAAAGCAAAAAAAGAGCAAAAGAGAGGAAATATTAGAGATGTTAACCACAAACCCTCATCGTTGTTCATCATGAGGGAAAAACGCATGCAAAATAAAATACAAAATTTTCACTGGTACAGTGACAGCAATTGAGCAATTATTGGCCATTATCAAGACCATTTCCCATGCAGTTAATTTAATCATCTTGATGAATTAAACCTAAATTTCCAGACGACATAAACCATTTATGCTAAGGAGCCACAAGAGGGCAGAAAAACTTCTCCTGTCCCTTTTCTGATCATTTTGTCCGTTTACAGTCAGGAAGATCTCATCTGAGTTTCATAAAAAGCAGGAGGATTAGGGTGTTTTTAAAAAAGAGGATGGCTGAACTCACTCCAAATCTCCGTCTCTGCTTCCGCCATTTCAAATACAAAGACAATTTTTCTAAACTTAACACCATTCTCTTTTCCAGCTAGATTACAATCACGTTTCCTAAAAACACTGCAATGCAAAATAAAAATCATAGCAATAGTAACATTTTTAAAACATAAACATCACTGAAAATAAACAGAATGACCTCAAATTTCACAATAGCTGGGGAGGAGGAGAATCAGATCTAGAATGAAAACTGACCTACTTTTCCACTCAGATTCTAGTTTATATCTTTTATTGCAGACTAATTAAACGCCACCGTTGAATCTTTATCTCAAAATATAGGGAGGGAGGGAGGGAGAGCTGCAGTTCTGACGGATGGGGCTCCAGAGCTTCCCACCGGCATCCAAGGTGCGAAGAAGACACTTACATGACCTGAAGGGGGCATCCGGGGACGGTCAAGATCTTCAGGTGCTTGAGCTGGGACTTGGCGACGTGGCTCTCAAAATACCTACAAGGGCAGCGGTAAGTCAGGCTGATGGGTTTCCCTGCAGGGCAGAACAAAGGAGAGGCCTCAGATACCCTGCACAAACCATCCCAGCCCTTCCTTCTTGGTTGTGGTTTTTAGGAGACAAAAGTGGGGTGAGAAACTGGAACAGGCATTAGCGGGTTTTTTAAAAGGAGCCAGCTAATTGTCCCGAGTGACTGGCGGCAATTACCCAAGATAAAGGGGGCAGCTGAAAGGCACTTGGCCTCCCCAGTGTTATTCCTGCTAAACAATTTGACCCCGGGGCCACATGAGAAGGCAGGCAAGAGAAGAAAGAAATCTCAATGCAACACACACACACACAGCCCTCCCCACCTATGCAGGCAGAGCCATCCTGGGCAGGGAGGAAGGGCCAAGGGAGGGCGGCATCGGCTGCAGGTACAGAGCGGGTCAGTCTGGCTGCCAATTAAGTCTTAGGGGCAGCAGCTGTGAATGTTTGAAGTTCTCACCCCCTTCCTTCCCCCCCTCCTCCCCAGCTCCTGCTTCAGAAATCCTCACCATCCAAGATAGGATGGATCCTCTGACAAGACGGCTTCTTTGAACAAGGAATCCCCAGGAGCTGCTCCTTCACTCCTACAAGCACTGGAAGTGTTTTCCTCCCGGCTGCCTGCCTCGTGGCAGCACCAGGAGATAACTGGTCCCCCCCCCCCCCACACACACACACACACAACACAGACACACACTCCCACTCCACCCTTATCAGCCAGAAAAGCTTTTAAGGTCAAAGGAAGGAAGGAATTCTTTATGATAGCCGAAAGCTACCAGCAGCAGCACAAAAGAGCCCACGTGAACAGAAAGTCTTGGCAATAATGCAATATATAATAAAAGAGAAACACAGAAGCAATAGATAGTATATGGCAACCCAGCAAGCGAGAGAGATTACTGACTTTGCAAGCGTTATCTACGGCGCAGGCAGCCTGTTGCTACGTAAAAGAAGTTGCTACAATGTGAGAAGTAGCTGGCTGCGACCCACCACAAAAGCCACAGGCGTTGGATGGAGAAGCGTGCGACATAATGGCATTGCACAAATAACACAAATTGGATTGTTCAGATCAGGTTGTCTTAAAGCAGGTCACTTCACTATGGGCTGTACTGGACACCTATGAAGGAATGTGCAGGGGTGCCCTGGAATAGTTATTAAGAAGGGCCCAGTACGTTTATTAGAGAGATACCTTATAAAATGCACAATACATTTTGTCACAAAGGACATTTTCTGACCTAATCGGTTTTCCAAGGGGGGGGGGAGGAGGAGACCAAACCAGAGACCAAAACAAGCTGCCTTGGCCTTGGCTTCAAGAAACTTTTTTAACATCCTCATAACTTTCCTCTAAACTCTCCCGTGAACAAGTGGCATGATGGGAGTTGAAAAGGCCAATGCAATGTTGGGCTATATGAGCAGAAGTGCTGGCCTAAATCAGGGGAAGAGAAGAGAGCCATTCCATGGTAAATGGCCCTGGGAATATCGTGCCTGGCTCCAGGGGCCGCTCTTTAAAAGGGAAACACAGGCCGTGAAGTGGGTTTGCAAAAGCCCCTCTGGTGATAAATCTGCTGCCTTGGGCTGCAAATAAATCATCTTCCTTGGTTTGGAGAGTTGGATTTGCTAAATGTGGATTCCTGCAGTGCCTTGAGGGATCTGGAGCTGCGTTTTGCCCTCGTTCAACCATGCCAGGCATGGTTTCTCTTCCAAGGGGAAAAATGTCAGGCAATGCCAACGAAGTGTTAAAGCAATTCTGCCTTTCCCCATTTTTATTTTCCCTCCCCTTCTACACCCACCACCCTCTTGTCTTTTATTTCAGACTTCACTCCAAATCCTTCTTACAGCAAAAAACATAAAAAAATAAAAATCCTTACCTCGTTCTGAGCTTTAGCTTTTTTGGACCCCAACCTCGCCAGCCTGCTATGGGTTCAACCCCTTCCAGTCATTAGTCCTTGCCTCTATTTCCCCTTTACGATTAATCTATTTGAATATGTTAATAGCACAAGGAGTTGTAAAATTTAAAAGTCAAAAACTGAAAGTATCCGACCTAACATTTTACATTAAACATTCCGTCTTATAAAGACATGAATTGGCTAATGCAAGGGACCGGTGGCCTGGGTGCAAAAAGTCACGGAGCAGGCACGGAGGGCTGGTTTTACCTGATGCTCTTTCCCCCTCTGCTGCCCTCCCCTCCCCCAAGGCATGCATACCTCTCTGAGCCATCTGCGCCCCTGGGCTTGAGAGGAGCAGCACCAAGAAGCAAAAGGAACGGGGTGCACTGGACTCAGCACAATGATCTCCAAACTGAATTATTCTTAAAACCATAGAGAAGCATTGATTGTCCGTCCCGGTTGAAAAAAATGTATTCTCTCAGTTTGTTCTCTAATGCAACTTTGAGACATGCAAACAATTTTCAAAAATTGGAAGAATTTAGTCTTTCATACATGAAGTGGACTGCAGACAGAAAATAATGGGACATCCTAGAGCCTGCTTCTCTCAACCTTCGCAACATCAAAATCTGTGGACCTCAGAATTCTGGGAGCAGAAGTCCACAGATCTTAAAAGTTGCCAAGGTTGAGAGAAGCACAGCTCTGGAGTGCCAAAATTTATGCAAATCTTACTTGCACCTTTCGTCAAAAGCGCTCCCTCTGTATAGCTCCAAGGGATTCAAAAATTCACGTCACGTTTTCCACAAGCACCATGTTCAAGGACAAGCTGAGTTCTTCAGAAAAAAATTTGGATTAATTAATTAACTTGTAATAAAAAGTGGCCATATTTAGTCCTTTTTTCTTACTGATAGATTATTATTCGGCTATTTTTCCTAATGCCTAATGAAAAGGAAAATCTCCTTTGGAAAAAAGGCTCGTCCATTGTCAGGGAAAGTCTAAACTTAAGGATGTAAGCACATGCAACTTAATCATAATTATAGCCTCCGCTGGGTTGGAAATCCTGTGCAATCAGGATTCCTAATTTTGCAGATTAGGGTTAATCAGATCTTCACAAGAGGAAAGACAAAGAGGGAAGGGAAAAAGGCAGGAGAGAGAAAGAGTGTGTAAAATGCTGCATCTATGTGCAACCTATTAAAGCAGGTCTGTTTATTTGCAGGATTACACACAGTTGTGGTATATGCTCTTCTGCACATTCAGAAACACCTTCTTGTGAATCTTATCTGAAGCACCGCACAACGCTGGTGTGTAGCTTTCTCTCTCCGTAGCTAGTAGAAGCTGGAGGTGCAGAATAATTCAGGGAACAGGATGAAAAGTTATTACATTCCTCTCTAGCGTAACAAGTTGTGGTTCTGCAGTTGCGCTCAGCAAAAAAGGACATTTACACACACACAAACAAACACACACACACACACACACATATATGTCACATATAACATAACATTGAAAGTGGAATCATTTTTAAAGGTTGTTTTATGATGTAAACCATCTGCAGACTGAAGTGGTTTATGCTGCCCCTGAGAATATTATGCCTCCGTTTTTCAATCTTGCGGCTTTTCCCCCCAACTTTGTTAGGTGAGGCACAAGCGACCTCTGGCACAAGGGAGCCTCTCTGAAGGAAGGTCCAGAGGAGAGAGTGTTGGGCACAGCAAGCTCCCAAAGGAGGTTTCTTAGCTACCTTCTACAAAGGGTAGATCTAAAATCCAGAACTGATTGATATTCCACATTAACATCAACCAAATTTGATTTGTCCTGCTAAAAATATTTTCTCTTAAACCCCTAAAAACGTCCCTCCACTTTTTGTAGGTGGCTCTCAAGCTGTGCCCCTTTCCTGAGGGCACCGCTGCAAAATCCCTGGGAAATAATAGAGGAGGAGGAGGATTTGGGAAGGAGCGCGGGCAGCTTCGAAAGAACTTAATCCTGATTTTAACCCAGACTGCCGTTTAGAACAAGAAATGCAAAGAAAAGTTGTGTAACTTGCGTGCAGATGTGAATTGCAATTCCTCCGGAGAGCCTCCTGAGTGAAAAAGGTCTCAGTGTTTCAGAAATGAACATGAATCTCAGCTGGAAAGCTGAACCACCTTTGACTGGGAACCCTGGAAGACCCTCCCCTGGAAGCAGGTACCCTCTAGAGTGAGAGGGAAAGAGTAAAAAGGGAGAAAACGAGGAGATCGAACATTCCCTGACTAGAAACCTCCCTTAGAAGCATCCAAGGGGCCTCCTTGAAGGAAGAAGGTGACTCTCAAGGGCCAGATCTGGTCCCTAACAGTCCTGACCAGAAGGCTGGTCCTCCCAGAAGATCCCCCATCCCCACCCAAAAGAGGTGTGTGGTTTGCAGTTGGCTTCCCTGCCTCCCATGCTAGCAGAGACCCAGAAGAAAATTCCCTGGAGGGGAGGGGGCGGGCAGAAAGCTCCCACACTTTCTGAAACAGAGGAGCCCACCCACCCACCGACCCATCCACACACACACACGCAGCAGGGACCCTCTGCACAGCAGAAGCGCCGGAGGCTTCAGGAGCGAAGACGCCACCTCTTCCCAGGGCACTCGGGATCTCTGCCTGATGCCAGCCTGCCCTTCAGACGTGAGCGGAGAGGACGAGGGGCTGCGGCGGAGCTTTCTGGGCAGTCGGGAAGCCCGGAGCCCCCAGAGAAGCCGAAGCACCGGACTGCCAGCCGGCTCTCTCCACCCGGGGCCCACCTAGAGGCGAGGGGAGCCCCTGAAGGAGCCTCTTCAAAGCCCCCAAAGGCTGGGAGAGGGTCTTCCCTCCAGAGAGAGCCCACCCCCCGCCCCCCGCCCCAGCTCTCCCTTTGGGGGAGCGCCGGAATTCCAGAGGGACTCCCCGCCACTTGCCAAGAGACTCAACGCCCCCCTTTCGCTTCGGGCCAACCAGGCCGAGTCTCTCGCCTCGCTCGCTGCCCCTTCGGGGGTCGCCGCAGCGGAAAGGCGCCCGGCCTGCCTGCCTGCCGCCCCCTCCCGTCTCCCGTCCACCCGCGCCGCCGCCGCCGCCCCCTTCCAGGCGGGGAGCCCGGAGCCCCAGGCGCCAGCCCAGCCCCTGCCCGGGGGAGCCCGGTGCCCGAGAGCTCGGCGCCCGCCCGGGGTCCCCGAAGCAGCAGCCGGCCGGCGGAGGCTGCGGCTGGCACTCACCGCGGGTGCCGGGCAGGGCGGCGAGCAGGAGCAGCAGGAGGAGGGCGAGCGGGCGGCGGTCCATGGCTGAGCTCGGCTGCGCTCGGCGACCACTCTGCACGGCCTCCGCCCGGCCGGCCTCTATAGAGGCTGCGGGGGAGCCGGGGGCGGGGGCTCGGGGGGCGGGGCAGGAGGCCGGGGCAGCCCCCCGCTCCCCCCCCCCAGCCCCCCTCGGCTGCTGCTGCCGCGGCGGCCCCGGACGGCGCTTGAACTTCGGGGGCTCCTTGCCTGCCTTTGCCGCAGCGCCCCCTCCCTCCCTCCCTCCCTCCCTGCCGAGCTCCTCTTGGGAAGGGAAGCCGGGGCGGCTGGCAAATGTGGGCCGCGGCCGGGGGGTTGCAGTCCGGACCCTCAGCCGGGTAACGGGGCGCAGGGCTCGCTTGGGGTGCCCGGCCTGGGAGGGCGAGCGAGCGAGCGACGGGGCGGCGGGAGGGAGCCTCGGAAGCCCCGCTCTGCCCTGGGCCCCGTAAAGGGGCTCCCCCAGCCCCCCCGCCCGCCCCCTGGAAGAGCCGCTGGCTGTGCCCAGCGCTGCTGGGGGGGGGGGGCGCCTTTATATTCAGAGCCAGGAAGGAAATCCTCTCCAGAGCTCCGGGCAGCCCGGCTTCCCCACGCCCGAGTTTCTGGCCCTGCCTGGCTCCATCCCTAGGGAGGGCTTGGCAGCGTCTCCCACCTCCGGCCACTTTGTGGGGGGACCTCAACTCCCAGCATGCCCCAGCAGCTCTGTGGTTGGGGAATTCTGGGAGCCCACCCATCTTAAAGCCGCCAAGGTTGAGAAGCACTGCTTGAAAGGATGATGGCTTCTTTGGGCAGAGGAGGAAACCTGACCCAAAGGCCCCTCCAGGTGAAACACTCTTTGGAAGAGAAGACCCGAGAGAGTGGAAGATCTTGGGAAGAGAAGCCTTGCTGAGGCTTCCCACCCATCAAGGTGAAGGACGGGCCCTTCAGAAGGGAGCTGCAGCCAACACCCCCCTCCCCAAGCACAGCCAGGCTGCAGAAGAGAAAGAGAAAGGGCGAAAGGAAATGACCCAGATCCTGAATCTTCCTAGCAGATGAGGGATTCCTAAGAATTTCACTGTAATTGTTTGGTGAGGAAATCCTGATCACTTTTGGAAAACCAGCCCAGAATTGCAGCCTTCAGGGGGGAAAGGTCATGCGTGCCACACTCTGGCCGCTTTAATTTGGAGGGCTTTTGTGAGGGTACCTGCATCCCTGTGGCCAGGAGAGGATTCCTGCTCCCTGTAGAAGAGTTTAGAGACCTTTGACACAACCAAAGTCCCAGGGATCTGAATGGACCCATTAGAAGTCTGCAAACCCAGCAACCAGAGTAAGTTTGCAGGTAAAGAGGAATGTTATTCTGTGGGAATCTGTGAGGTCTCCTTGAAGTTGAAGCTGGTATCTACCTGGAGACCTCCTGGCAGCAGAACGGAAGTGGTTTGCCAAGGCTGGCCACCTCTGAGATGTCCTACAATGACCTCTGAATAGAATCCAAGGACAAAGCAAAGGGGAGGGGGAGAGAAACTGGAAAGGCTAAAGCTTCAGGAAGAAGCCCAAGAGCATCAGCAGAAAAAGAGGGAGCCTCACTCCTGCTTAGCCTTTCTGAGAGAGCCAAGCCTGGCTAGCTACTGGTCTCTAGGGAGGAGATGCAAAAATTGATCTCTTAGGGGAAAAAAATAGCAGAATTAATTGGTTTGGACTAATTTTATCCACAAATGGGAACCTTCTGTCTTGTTAGAGTACCTGGAACTTCACCGAGCGCTGCAGAAATTGGGTAGACCCATTGATCTAAAAGAGGGATGGTTTTCCTATTAAGCCCCCTTGCTAAGATGGACCAGGAAAGTGTTCTAAGCAGAGGGTCGAGGGGCCTCATTCCAGGCAAAGGAGAAGAAGGAGAAGAGGCCCTCTGGATGGGCTCTCAGCCATGACTTTGCCTTAGGAGGGAGCCAGGTGTGGCACACCTGCCAGGAGCCAGAAGAGCATCTGCGCAGCAAGCCAAACGCGTCCTTTGGAAGAGAGCAGAAGGAGCGAACCTTCCACTTCTCCCAGTGCAGAGAGAGAGGCCGGGTCTCCCAGCCATGGGAAGGAAGTCCATGGAAGTGGCTTAAATACAGATGAATCTAATCAGAGTCCAGGCCTCGAAGCCAGGAACTGAAACCAGAGAGTCCAGGGAGTCCGAACAATAGGCCTTCAATGATCCAACTTTAAGCAATCTGAAGGATTTGGCAGGCGGAGACGGAGGTGGCAGTAAACAAAAGGGAACCAATTAAAGAGGGGGGGAGAGAGATTTGTTTATATAGGATTTGGGGGTCTTAGAAACAGAATTGGTCTGGGAAATGGTCCACCTATTTGGTAGCCCCCCCCCAACCCCCAGAATCACAATGATGGAGATCACACATGAAGCACCTTTGTTCACCACAGTATCCAAAGTGCCAGAAAAAGGTTGAGTCATTACTGGTTTAACAAGGCTTGAAACATGAGCACCTCTCACTGGTGAAGAATTTTGGGAAAAAATGGCCACAGAGTCAAAGCGCACCTAACAGGAGCCGAGCTTTCCTTCTTTGTAGCACAGAAGGAGACACATTTCTCTGTTGTAGATCATCCCACAACTGATTAGAGGCGGCAGGGAGGGGCCTTTGCCAAGAGAGACCATTATCTTCCTGGTGGAGGCTGGGAAAACGCTGGACAGGAGATGGACTTCCAAGTGCCCCATGCACTCTCCGCTGAACGGCCTTGCAGAAGGAGTGCATGGGGTTCTGAAAATGGAGATTAAAATTTAGGCAAGAGGAATTCAGAGAGATCAGACGGAAACATCGTCCCATTGTCTGTTTGCACACTGGGCTATTCCACAAACGTCTACAGACTTTGCTTCCTTTTGCGTGAACATTCAGGAGAGGCCAAAGAAGACCCACCTGGGTTCCTGCTGAAAAAGAAGCAAAGAACCTCAAACCTTGGACTGATTTGCTGCCATTTAGGAAGAGCTGGAGGATGCAAAATTGAATGGACAACAAATGACTTAGGAGCCCAAATGGTAAATGGCTCTCCTTTAAATGCCTGCCTCAAAATGTGGAATGTCAGAAGGGCTGATAGAATTTGAACCGGGAGACTGAGCTATGGTCTTCATTAAAGTCAGACAAATTAAATGCCTCACGGGAAGGAGCTTACATTGGGCAGAATAAATTGGAGGAGCATACCTATGTAAATGCGCTTTAGTCCTGCTCTCAATAGTAGGATGCGCTAGGAAAAATAGGGAGGGGGAGATGGGGATGTGTGACTTTTGTGACCCTCCTGGAGCTCTCGTCATAGCTGTTGCACCCTGGAGTGGTTGAGGGAGTGAGGTTGTAGGTGCCCCTTTGCAGAGGTTCTGCTCCTAATTTTCTCTGCCAGGTGAGGAGAACTTTTGCTGATCCCCCTTCGAATGGTCCTGTAAGCTGCCACAAAGGCCCTAGGCTCCTGTGGGCCTGGCCTTCATGAGCAGGAGTATATCAACATAATAGGACACCCATCCATATAAATGTCAGCTATAGCTTCCCTTTCCTGTAAGGTTGGGGAAGGACATCTCTGAATAACTCCAGATTGCAAAGAACTGGATGTGGTAGAAGAAACCAAAGACAGACGAGACGTTTGTGCTTCCACAGACGGGACCTCCAGGTTTAGAGACACGCCTGTCATTCTCCCCCTTAAGAATTGGGTTTGGGGGCACTCCTGGGTCCAGTCTCCGGGGCTGGTCAGCTATGGGACTATAGCAAGGAGGACTTTTGACTAGCACCAGTCAACCAGCACCAACCAGCTGCCTCGTAGCTGGAGCAGAGACCTGATCAAGGTCTAACGCCATATTTCTCAACCGTGGCAACTTTAAGATCTGAGGACTTCAACTGCCACGCCTGGACATTTTTCCGGCCTAGAAGGCAGCCACAGGAGGTAGATGGTTCCTTCTCAAGATGCCACCATAATCCCACATGAAAACAATTGATGGTTCTCTTCTGAACCCAACTCCAGGCACTCAGGAGGCTTGCAAAATGCTTTACACCCAGTTGCAGGAGGAGCAGCTGGTTCTCTGCCTTCCTGACACCCTTTGGTCATCAGTGGACACTTGGTATGGCATCTGCTAGGGGTACTTTTAGTACTGGTGGTTAATTCTGATTTTTCTATGGCCACGTGGTAGGAAAGATGCCGCTGGAACTGAAGGAAGCCCTCTCTTCGTTATTTATTTATTTAATTAATTAAATGTGTTGGCCGCCCAGCTCCAGTGGGCTTAGAATATATTACTTTGCTTACTCAGGCCTTTTAACCATTTAAACTGTTTAAAATTTAATTATTTAAAGTGCATTGTTTTATTGCTTTAATAAAGTTTTAAGGTTGTTTTTACTGTAATGATATTTCTGTGGCTTTAATTGCATTTCTGCAAGCCGTCCTGACCTGTTAAGGAAATGGGCAGCATGCCAACATTTAAAATAAATAAATGTGTAAGAAATGTGGCTGGAGCAGATATCGTGCCTGAAGAATCTTACCAAAGAAAAGAAAGAGAGGATTTTACCTGCAATTCATAAGTTTAAATGCTTCTTCAGTAACAAAAATAATCCTCCCTTTTAGACTGAGCTCAGAGAAAGGAAATGGGGCTTGGCTGACATGCATCTGAAGATAGGATTTTTTAAAATGTTGAATTTAAAGCTGAAGAAGCTTCTTGGATGCGAAGCGAAACATCTTCAAAGAAAAAACAAAAAGTCCAGTTGCCTCTTGAAAAAGCACCTTTGGGCTGAATTTAAAGGTTTAAAGTCGTCTCCTGAGCCCTTTACCTTATGCCTGATGTCTTCTGCCTGAATCTCACCAGATTCACCTTCAGATGTTCTCTAGCTTCCATACTCCAAGCAGATGCATCTCCCATCCCACTTGAGATGTTGGGGTCTGCTAAATAATGCTTCCCCTTGGTTCATATAAGGGGCTTTGGAGTGGACCCTGATTCTCAGAATATGCAGAGTACCAATATCTAGCTGCAAAGGTGACCCTTCAGGCTTTCCCTTTTCAGGTAGACAATCCCAAGGTTGATGAGATGC